GCTTCCAAGCCATCCTCGGGTTTTCCTGCCAGGCCACAAGAGACCCCAGTCTGCCTGGGCCCTCGTGCTGTCGGCATGGTGGTGACAGCAGCCCGGCCGTGCTGGGTGACAGTGCCATGCGAGCCTCTTGTCCCTTGCGGTAGGGACAGACCCCGTGCCCTGCCAGTGGGGCTGGGGCTGTGCCCACGCACCCAACAACATGGGGATGTCTGTCCTGTGTAACCCAGAGCCTTTAAAAACAGGGGGTTGCTAATTGTGCTCCTACCACGTATTTGTACTTTTTAATTGGTTGGGTTAACATTTTACTGATGTGCAAAGCATGTGATTTTTTTGGGTGCTAATTAGGCTAACATTTTCTCTCCCTTTTTAATCTATTAATTTGGAGTAGTTGGATGTAATTGTAATTAAATATATGGGTGCTATTTTTCAAATGACTGAAATGCTTTTATGAAAAGAAGGATGCCGTCTCAGATCTAAACATCAAGGGCCCTTGAGTGTTACTCCCACTCTCCCACTGACTCATTGTTTGTCATTGGGCAAGTACATTAGCTCTCTACCTCCGTTTCTTGCCTTCCAGGGCTATTGTGAGAATTAATTAGATAATGTTTCAGCACAGCTTTGAACTGGAGAGTGCTACAAAAGCGCCAAGTTATAATTTATTATTATGAAAGCAGGCATGCTGGCTGGGGAGCGAGACCTCTGATGCAATCCCAGCAGAGCGCGGACGGCGAGGAGGCTGGGACCTAGGACAAGAAACTCTCCTGTTGCCTTGGGATCACCTCAGTGACGTACCTGCAGGTCTGTAGCAATTTCTGCCTATTCTAGAAGTTTTCTGCTGAAAGGGACACCGACAGCTGCACGACTCTCTGTGGGCACAGTCCCTGGCTGAGCAGACCGGTTCAGCCGCCAGACAGGGCATCGGCTGCACCTCCCCGTGGGCTTTCCAGGCACGATTTGCTGTGTGAGGTAGCAACGGTGTCTGCCCAGTCAGCCCTCTTGACAATTACACACCTCCAAATCAGTAAAGCACTTAAGATTAACATTGATAGGGCTGACGAGTGGCTTATAGTTAAGCATGCTGTGCAGTTTGCTGGATAGGATTAGGCCTCAGCACAACCATTTTGCTGATTCAGGTTTTCAAAATATTTAGGCCTCCATCCCACAAGGTACTTGAACCTGAGCAGTGCTACTGAAGACAATGGAAATAACCAGGTAATCAACACTAGGGAAGAAAATCATAGGGAAGATAACCAAAGCTAGATGAAGAAAAAACATGCAATCAAAAACCTGTTTGCTTAGAAATGAGTCCGCTTTGAAGGGAGCGCACGAGCATGGATGGAGACCATAGAGGCAAACTGCCCTGCGTGCTGACAGACATCTGAAGGGGAACAGCACAAAGAGCTTCACGTTTACAAGAAATAACCTTTCCTCATGATACGCCTGTGTTCAGCAGGCTTCCTTAACACGAGCAGACCCATTTACAAGCAATTTTACTGAACTGCAATGACCTGTCCAGAACAGCTCTCATTACTTGTGGAACCCCGTTACTACAGGGCAGCACCATTTGCCTCCAACCAGCGACCTGCTGTGTCCCACATCCTTTTTCCTTTTCCTTACGTTCAAACCCTAAACCTGCTCTCCCAACAGCATGGCCCTGCAAGTATTTGGCCCCACACATGACAGAGGCACACCCAGGCTGCTGTTACCATCGCACCCTGAGCTGACAGACCATGAGGAGAGCGGCAGGCAGGGTGGGATCTGTGCCTCCCCTGTGCAGTTTTAATCCCAAAGCACAGTTCTGGCAGAGCATGGCAGTGACACTGACAGCCCTATCATGTTTTAATGGCATTCCTCCTCCTGTAGGAAGGGTACAACCATTCCCTCCCCATGTTTTGATCTCTGCATGCTGTGCCCTTTTCAGGCGTGCAGACAGGCAGCTCAGAAAATCCCACCTGCTTCTGAAAACCAGGAAAGGCCCTTACTACTTTTCTTGTGATTAAGAAACCAAAAATAAGATGACCTACACTTGTATTCCCAGGCAGACAAGAAGAATAATTACTTTACAGAGAAGGAATTCCTTCATATATCATAGCCATTACAAAGAATAAAATTTGAAATTTGCTGTGGCATAGAACAAAAAGGTAGTATAGTAAGAGATATTGAAATCCCTCCTTGCCATTAATGGAAAAATTACTGTTGTTAAAAGACCCCTTCATAAATAATTAAGAAACCAATTATAGAGTCTCAATGACTAATTTATCCAGGAGCAATACAGACCACGTTATTCCATATAATGAACAGTGTATATACTCCATTGTATTTCCCTACAACTCACTCCTTTTTTCATTTACTCCTCAAAGAAATAATAAAGAAGGGCAACTAACGCATACAGTAATCAGAATGTACATTATCTAAAATGAGAGATACACATTAACATATCTTAATTTAAAACAGTTTTACAGGAGCACAGAGGGCTGAATTAACGAGCCATTTAGCCTCTGTGCTGGAAAGGGGAGGAGGACTTCAGGGAAATGCATGGCCAGGGCTGGGGCCACCCGCACGCCAGCCTGTCTCAGTCCCTGTCCTGTTCGCCCTAATGCCCATCCCAGTGGGGTTCTGTGCTGTGGGACTTGTGTTGCACACGTTGCTCTCAGCAAAACCCCTGAGGTACTGGGGATGAAAGAGCCATGGTGGGATGGCAGGACCACAGGCTGGAGGGGTGAGTTGGTCCTTGGAGGGGTGTCATTGGTCCTTGGCTGCCCCAGAGCTGCCCAGGCGCCCTGTGCCATCGTCCCCACGGGGCAGTCCCTGCTGCTTTATGTCTTCTTGCCCGAGGGAAGAACCACCAAAGTGGTCTGCGGTTAGATTTTCTGCCTGGTTTAGATGTTTGTGCTATTAAAATTGCCTGGACAAGCTGTGGCATGCTCTGCAATCCGGTCTCCAGCTATCTGATTACAAACCTAACTTCATCACAAATCGTCTTACAGCATCCAGTAGCAAAGTCTCTTTCTTGTAGCTGAGGTATATTCCAGTAACAGCATACAGCTTTGCACACCTCAGAAAATGATCCTGAATGTAAATCAACTCTTCCAGTAAGGAATTTTCCTCCTCCTTCTAGTCCCTGGGACTTATCTGATCTGGCCAAGGAAAATGCTTATAACTCTGGCAAACAATCCGGCAGGAGACTGATGTGATTAAGGTGTTTTTTTTTTCTCTCTTTCTGAAGAGTCTCCACTGCAGCCCCTGCTGGAGTGCGCTCAAGCATTAAATGCTCACTGCTGCAGCACACAGCCCCCCTTCCAGACAGCTTCCTGATGAAAGCAGAGAAATGAAAGTCTGCAAAGCCACAACCTAAAATTCAAGATGCAGAGCATTTTGATGTCATCATCGTGATGAAGTTTAGCTGAAGTCATCGATGCACATCAATACAAACTGGAAGTGCCAGAAACCAGGTCCATAGCAGCCTCATGCTGAATAAAGTGGAAGGAATGTCCTCAGATCTGTTTCCAGGGTGATGTTATTTCCAGGGAGCGTGCTTCTCCCCTTCGGCTTGAACACTGCTTTTCCAGGAGCCATGTCCAAGGGAACAAAGCTCTTCTCTCCTGCTCCCAGCCCCAGACAGGAATTAACCTGGACAACAAATTGTGGGGGCACTTTCCCTAGAAAAATCCCTATTCCCTTGAATTTGCCATATGATTCTTAAGACACCTCTGAAGAAAATTGTCCTCCATTTTACTGTGCCTGGTAACCTGAACGTTTAGCACTTAGGAAGTTTTTAGCATCTTGAGATGTATTTGGTGGGAAAAAAAATTAATAGCACGGCTGGCTGCAGGAAGCTGCCAGCCTGACAGAAGATTACATCACTTTTGTTCACGGGCAGTGTGAGGACGCAAAGAACGAGTACGTGACCAGAGGTTCACCTCACATTACACATCACACAAATAACGAGGGACAGCCAAAAGGAAAGAGTTGGGTTCCTTGCCCATCCCACTACAAACGTGGAAAAACAACACTGCCATGCCTGTGTAATGCTGCTCTAGCATGAGGAAGGACTTGACCCTGTATGTTAAAAAGCAAAAGCCTTGAAGAACATTACTGGTGTTAACTTCAAACACTGTAAATTAAGGGTGAGAGTCACTTTTTACCACCTTTTACGTGTACTTCTCTGCAATCTGCTGAAGCTGATGACTGAACTTTTCAGCATCAGAGGGGCTTTTCCCTCGCTGTGTTACTTCCCCTTTCTCACAGGGCAGCACTGTGTGTACGTGTATATTTTATGGGTATATAAATATATATCTTTTAAGAAAAGGGGTTTCAGTTGTTTCAGCTGCATGTAAATGAAACTTTGGGGCTCCAGCTTTGTGTCACCCAGAGCAAAGAATTGCTGTGTGAGAGCAGGTTTTCCCTACACGGGTCATGGAGCTGAATGCCTATTTTTTTTTTCCTGTGTATTTTGTGGTAAAACCCAAGGTTTGTGTATAAGCTGTTTGGTATTACTGTTTTAATATTTAAACACTCAAAAGCCTTAGCAGTGGGGGATGTTTAAGGGGGTATTAAAGCAGAATAAAAGTGCTTTTTGACACTGTCAGAGCTGAAACAGTGAGCGCCAACGTTGTCCCTTGCAGGAGGAGAAACCCAGGGCTGAGACTCGCCGCTCCCCAGCACCGAGCCCGCAAAGCAATTCCCATCGCGACCGACGGACGGGGGCAGGCGGCGGCCTCCGGGGTGCGGTGAGCTGCGGAAGGGGGGGGCCGGGCGGGTGCCGCTGGGCGCGGGCAGGGGCTGCGGGGCCGCCCGGCGAGGCCGCGGCCCGCTGAGGAGATGGCGGAGGCGCTGTGGGCGGGGGGGCCGCCGCGGGCCGCCAGGGGCCGCCAGGGGGCGCTGTGGGCGGGCGGCGGGCGCGGGCGGAGCGGGGCGGCCGCTCTCGGCGCACGGGGCGGCGGCGGCGGAGCGCGGCGGGGGCCGCCCCCTGCTCGCCTGGCGGCGGCGGCGGCGGGGCCGGGGCAGCGGCGGCGATGGCGGACAGCGCCAGCGAGAGCGACACGGACGGCGCCGGCGGCAGCGGGGGCGGCGGGAGCGGCGTGGCGGGGCCGCTGGCGGCGGGCGGCCCGGCGACGGGGCCGGGCGGCGGCGGTGGCGGCGTTGGAGGAGGCGGTGGCGGCGGCGGCGGTTCGGGGGGCGCGGGCGGCGGCAAGGCGGGCGGCATCGTGATCTCGCCGTTCCGGCTGGAGGAGCTGACGAACCGGCTGGCCTCGCTGCAGCAGGAGAACAAGGTGCTGAAGATCGAGCTGGAGACCTACAAGCTCAAGTGCAAGGCGCTGCAGGAGGAGAACCGCGACCTGCGCAAGGCCAGCGTCACCATCGTGAGTGCGGGCGGCGCCGGCAGCGGGGGGGAGCCGCCGCGGGGCCGGGCCGGGCCTCGCCGTGCCCCCGGGGCCGGGCAGCGCCGAGCGGGCAGGAGGGGCCCGGCCCCCACACGGCCCCCGCTGAGGGCGGCAGGCGCGGCCCCGGAGCTGCCCCGAGCCCCGGTTGTCCTCCCGCGCGGGTCGCGGCTGTCCCCTGCGGGCACCCCCGCGGGCACGGGCTGCGGGAGAGCGCCCCGGTCGCCAAAAGGCTGCGGGCCGGGCTCGCCGCCGCGCTGGCGGTGCTGTTCCCAGAGGTTAGTCAGAAACAACTCCGAAAGTCCCTCGGAAGCAGCGCAGGTGACACGCCGCGCTGTCCTGGCCCGGCTCGGCTCTGGTAATGAGCGCTGAGAGGATAAACTGCACCGCCGCTTCATTCGATGCTGTGAGGTGTCAGTCCTCGGCAGAACGCATCCAAAACATAGCTGCCGTGACATTTTCTTCTGTCAGTGAGGTGTGGGGGGGTCAGAGCGCGGTATTTGTGCTGCTTCAGCTGCGGGGAGCGCTCACTGAGGTGTTCCCGGCCTGCGAGCAGGCAGAGGGGTGAGGTGCCGGGCACCGCTGAGGTAACGCTGGGGGCTGCGGGCACCGGCCTGCACGGCCTGGCCAGTGCAGCGTGCCCTGGAAGGCTCTCTAGCCCACCTGCTTGTGTTTGTCCTCTTCTTCTTCTCTGAATTTTCACAGGGAGTGTTTTCTTGCAAGCGTATCAGCTCTCCTATTGATAATGAGGTTTTCGCTGTTGATATATCTAGCAAAGGAATGGGATCTGGAGCTTATCAAGGCAAACCTCGCATCTGGTCCCTGTAGTAAGCGTTCAGCTTCTAGCAGGATGTGGGCCGGAAGAGTGCATGAAATACAATACAGAAGTAATTTATTCAGGGATGACAAATATAGTGCCAGTCAGGGAAACATGTGCTTTGTTAATACTGTACGAGTAGAGAATGTGTCTTAATTAGGTAGCAGTGGAGTGCCTTCTAATGCTGGAAGGGGCTAAGACATCTTGTCAGTCAGACATTTTCTCTTCGCCTGTCAGAAAGACAACATCTTTCTGAACCCCTGGTAGGTGTGTTATTGTTTGTAAACAAGTTAAAAAAATGTTCCCGTGACTTAAGGTTGTTTTGGAGCTTTCCTGGGAACTTCTTACCTCACGTTTTCATCAGACTTCAGTTGACAAAAATTAAGTATTTTTCTTAAATCTAAAACTGCATCTTCTCTGACATCCTGGCTGAAGAGAGAAAAGGTGTTAGACTTTTATAGCAACCTGTGGGCTGTGTAGAAAACCAGCGTCTTTAGCAGACACTCTCTCTTTGGTATGCTAAACTGTGTGCACAGCTAAGTAAGCCGCTTCTCATTCAGCAAGCAGCAAAATAATGAATGCAAAACAATTTTTTATTTTCAGGCCACTAAGACTCTGTGCTGTGGTTTACATAGTTCTTAATGTAAACACATTTGCAGTCAAAATACTTTGTCATATTGCTCCAAGTATGAAAGTGGTCGGAGATGAGCTTTGTTGGAACACAGAAATGTGTGCCATTTGCATGTAAATATAGGTAAATGCAAAGTTTTCTGATTTTCTCCATTGTGATTCTAAACCTTTGTCAATTTACTCCCACAACCCAGCTCCTGCTCCTAGAGGAGAGCCGTGCGGGCAGGGCTGTGGCACGCCAGCTTCCTGCTGTAGGCACTGTAATGTCACGAATCAGCTTTGATTTTTATCATTTGTTACGGATGGGCCGTGAAGCGCAGATAAAACTGACAGGTAGCTGAAGTAGCGGCTGAAATGACTAAACCTGTGTGCTGTAGGTGAAGGTGACCCTTCTAGCCATGAAGCTCTTCATCCCTGAGCCTTTTGCTGTCCCTTTGCTTGAACTTGGCCGTGCTAGTGCTGCAGGGACACTAAACTTCCCTTAGTTCCCTCTGTTCTCTTTAATGGTTTTGAATATTTTCCCTTTAAGCTTTACCAAGTAGAAAGTGGTCTTCTACCTCCTTCCTCTTGCATCCATACTGCTGAATGTGTTAACATAGAATCAGAATCATTCGGGTTGGAAAAGACCTCTAAGATCATCTGGTCCAACCTTAATGACATCTCTTTTGTTTCTGTGGTATTATTGGTGTACACGTTACATATGAATGTGTACGGTTTGGGAATTACTTAGCAGCTTGCTGATAGTTCTATGTTGTAGTTAGTCCTTGCATCATAGGGTTGAAAATAAGTGTTCAGTGTAGGGGACCTATGTTACGTAGTTGTGCTTGGAAAACTGGCTGAGAAAAGGTGTTGGCTTCGCAGTCTTGTATGCTTACTAACTCCATATGAACTCTCCTCTAAAACGTGTAAAAACAAATGCTGGTTTAATACTGGGGTCTGTAAAATGAGTTTGGACAAGGTGTACTTCCATAACGCTGTGCAAGCTCTGCTCCTTCCAGTAGCCTGAAATGGAAATGAAATTATGCTGTTGGTCATGTGTTGGCTGTGAAATTAAATAAATATACACGGTAACTTTAATCGACCCGCTGTTATTGGTAACCAACCACGGGGGAGGCTATGTGTGGTGAGAGCTGCGTAGATTAGAAGTAGTATCTGCTAGTGCAAGAGTGAGTACTGGAAAGAAGTAACTGAGATCCCTTGAGCTGTTTGAGGACGGTTCCCTTTGTACATGTTTAGCAATCTTTAATTATATGATCGCATGATGTTTCTGCAAGATTCTTTTAAGGAAACGGACAGGATGGTGGGTGCTTAGGTTGGGAAAAAAAATGTGCATCTGAAAATCTTAAAAGCTACATATTTGTGATGTTAAGTAGTTACTTTTGGTTATAGTGCTGCGGTACCACAAGTGGAGTTCCTGTGTGAACTTCCTTTATTTCTTGGTGAGAAAGGTCTGCAAGGAAATGTCACGTTTAGTGGACTAAGTGTGGGACAGCACAACTTCTCTAGTGAAATAAAAGTACGTTGAAAACTGGGTGGGGGAATGACGGCTTTCCAACCCATTGAATTGTTGCCTACCACAGAAGCTGAAGAACTTCAGCTGGGAGCTGCGTGCACACATGTCTCTGTCAGGAAGTTTCTTTTGAAGTTGGTAGAACTTAGACTTCTAGCTTTTTTTTCCACTTTTCAGTGTTTGATGTTACAAAGTCGACCTATTTCACTGAAAGACATGTAGCCTTTAACTGATAGTGAAGCATTTTGTTTTTCTTGGTTATTGTTTTCAATTGACAGGCCTCATAAAAGCAGGCTGCTTTTGATAACAAAACCAGTTTCAGTCCCTCGTTCCTACAGGTACATACATGCTTTACCCTTGATTGTTAGATTCAGAAATTTAACTCATGTGGATTGGCCTCTTAAAGTCAGGCATCTCCTATAGCATTAGAGAAAGAAAGTAAAATAAGCCTTATTCCATTATTTTTTTTCTAACCGATACTGTGTACTTGAGTAGCCTTAATTTGAAAATGTTCCCACTCCAGAGTGCCTGATGCAGCAGTTTGTAATGTAGATTTTAAAGAATGGCTTCTCATTTTTTCCTCAGTTTGCTTTGCAGGGAAGGAAAGACTCCTAAAAGTCGCATGGTGTTGGGGTTCGTGGATGCCCAAAGGAGCATCGGTTTGGATGAAACAGACTGATCCAAACTGCTGCCAGCATAAGTAACCTCTGCAGCTAAATCTGCACCTCAGGTGTGAGCTTGGCTGTTGCTGTTCTCTGGGTGTTAGCAGAGGGCAGTTGCGTCTCCTGGCTTTTCCTTCTCCTTTGCATTTCTACAAAGCAATGTGAACAGGCTTCTACAAGCTGGGAGAAACAATGGAAGAGAAAGGCTTACTCAGCTCTCATTTCCTTGCTTGTAGTCACAAATTCTGAAGAAATTTGTTGCTTCCCATAACAGACATCTCCTGAAAACAAACAGGCTTCCAGTGACTTACAGGTTGGCAAAATCCTGTGTGGTATTGTAGAGTTGTTGCAGTTTTCTCAGTAAACAACCAGTGTTATACACTGGAAATAAACACGATTTCAGCATTTTGTTCTCAAGGAAGTATGTGGTGGGATGTGTGCATGTTTGTGATCTGCTGCCACGGCTCTTCATGGAAAATGTCAGCCTGGATAGGTAGTTAGGGGAAGTTAATGGATGTGCTAGAGCGCTGAAAATCCTCTGCAAAAATTGCTTTTTAACAGCTTTTTCCAGCCATGGAGTTTGCACCAGAGTTTCAAAGCAGAACACCCGTTCCAGTGCAGAATATGAACAGCAGGAGAAAGGGTGGACTGAAAATGCAAATCTTTGAAAGGCGCTTAGTTAAGGGCAGAGGGATCAATGGGAGAAATCAATTAGTAGGTACAAAGGTACAAAGTGGACCAAGAAAGTGAAGAGATTAATGTTTTAAAAGAGGTACCTGTAAGTTTATCATTTACTCTCTGTTTTAAAGTAGGTCTTGCACGTGTGAAAGAGATGGGTCTGCTGTTTTGTGGTGTCTTCTGTCGGTGTAAGAAATGTCTTCGGAGCTTCAGTATCCAACTGGTTCAATGACTGGTTTGTAGTCAGCCTAAAAATCTATCTCAAATACCTTATTTTAGAAATGTTTTGTTTACCTGCTTTTTAGAGTACAGACAGCATTTTTGCAAAGATTAGCAAGTTCATGCACAGTGTAACTTCATGCACAACTTTTCAGGAAGAGCAGATATAGGTAATGACTGCCTTGTATTTGAATTTTATGTTTGCCTCATTCTCAAGAAGTTTCTATTGATCTTCTACAGAACGCCTGGAAAGGAAGAAAGAAGCTTAATGATGGACTTAATGTTTTTGGCCCTTAGGTTAACACGATAAAAGCAGTGCTATTTGCAGCACTGCTGGCAAACTAATAGTAGGAAGGTGTATTATCATCTGCTTCCCTTTGGTACTTGGGTATGGCCTCTGGCATGTTGAAGTCCCGGGAAAAAAATAACTGTAGTGGTGGTAACAGCACATCACTGTGTGTGCTGT